CCCCAAAACCCCAAAACCCCAAAACCCCATCACGGTCTATAAAAATTGTTCCAAAATAGCAAATATGTACAACTACAATTCGTAAGCTGTTTCTAACCTTTTAGTTATTTGAAGACCCTAAATTGCAAAGAGGATCCTAAAAAAATTGCGAAAGTCAGGTAAAGATATCTTCTAAATTGGGAAGATATGATATTTAGTTGTTATTCTTTGTACAAAACTCTTGGAGCTACTACCTTTCCGAGGCAGTTACACTATTCAAGGTGGTCTCTGTATCCTCAATAACAAGATTTATAGGAAACAACAGATCCATAAAAGGAATCTCCTATCTGCCAAAGCAAGTAAGAAAAAATAGGTCAAAAGCCCATGCATGAAGAAAAATATGTGCATTTTTATTTAGTTCATATCTTTCTTAAATTCTTATCATAAAATTTCTGTCTGACAAATGCCTCAGAAAGTTAAGAGCATATCTAAGCTTCATCTAGGAAATAGGTAATCCAAAACTCTGATACTTTTGAGTATACCTCATGTAGGTACAAGCACGAGTGTCTCAACTTCATCGAAATGGTCAATAAAACCCAAAGAGATTATATCAAGCTGGTTGATGAGAAAGAGTCCAAATTAGGTATCAAGATTAATGCAAGGCTCAGATCTACAGAATCCAGGCTAACAAGAAAGCAATCTTTTAAAGCTGATAGGTTACTATTTTCATCTTATTTTTAGACTTAAGATCAAAATCCCGATACAATTTAGAGAAAGAAACCTTTCAGCTGAATCTAGAAGGAAGAGATTAGGAGCAACTTTACAAGGAAAGAGTTTGCTTTTAACCAATTCTCAGAGCTCCTCTCCGGATGCAGTAAGTCCATGGTGTAACCTCTAAGCGAATGATGACTTCACAGGTCTTCTCAGGAGCATGTCTTAAATCTAGGAATATTAACGGTAACCCAAATCTGACGACACCAAGTTCTAAACTTGCTTTATCCCAAAAGATCTTGATTGACGAGATGTCAGAGCCTTACCTAGGTGGTCATGAAGAGGTTGGAAATAAACGGAGGTAAATTAACCTCTCTTTTCCATAGAGCTAGAAGGGTGATGAATGAAGTTAGTAACGACATGTTCAAGACCTATACTCATTCAGACCCGATGTACAAATAACATGCTACATCAGTCATCTTCTCTCTTGAGAGGTGAATATGACTCTGGCCCATTAAAAGGAAAGAAACTGTATGAAAAGAGCATCAAAGATGCTTTAATCAGTAAGAAAATTTGCCTTCCAGAGAAATTTTCTAAGACAACAATCCCAGATTTTACTGATATCAGATGTATTAATGAGAGGTATAAAACTCAGAAGGGATTTAAGAATAAAACCAAAAGAATTAGAGGAGCAAATACGAAATACTGGGAGGTCAGAGTCACTAAGAAGAGTCCTAAGAAGAAAACTATAAGCAAAGGTATATGCCAGCTTAATTTTTGTAGAGATCATCGACTTCTATTATAGCACTTAAGATAACAGCTTTGAATTTGGTCAGTAAACAATATGGTAATTGTTCAAGAGATTGGCCCAAACCAGGGGTTTTGGGGTTTTGGGGTTTTGGGGTTTTGGGG